CGAACCCGGTGGGCAGGGGCTGCCGCGCTCGGCATGTGACGAACGTCCTGGGAGACCTTGGCTGCGGGGGAGAGCGCCAGCTGAGCGGCCTGCAGGGCTCTTTTCTGTGGCCTGTTCCTGCTGCAGGGTATGCACGGCAGCTCGCACGGGGGCACTGGCGATGAGGAGGCTCCTCCTGGCTCTTTTTTCCTTTTTGTCTTCCTTGCAAACATGACAAAATGCGTTTTCCGTGCTTGTTTATATTGCTGTGTGTTGCTGCGTGTTTTTATTCTGCTTTATGACCGAAGATGAACTGTTGGTGTCAAGCTGGGAGAAACAGGAAGGTAGCTGATGTAGTGACGCTATGGAAAGGTGTCAGCTGCGAAGGCAGCCTGCCGCGATGCGCTCTCTGGGCATGATTGAAGGGGGAGCACAGAAGACTGAGAGATTATTTTATTGGATATAAGAGACGAAAAATCCTGCTCATTAATATGCTATTGTAGAATTAGGAAATGCTTGTGGTGCAATCCTGTTGCCTTAATGCAAGGAAACTGTTGTGTCTCTCATAGCTCTTCCCTCCCTTTCTTGTTCAGCGTAGCTACTCTACAAGTAACTATTTTACATGTCAGATGCTGTTTATTAAAAAATAAGGCAAAAGTCCCATTAAGATGCAGTGTGTGTTAAAGCAGTATTTAAAACCTGAAGAAACTGCCTCCTTTCAGTCCCAGCATTTTTCTAGAGCTAGTAATTGCTTACTATTTAATTGCATTGTGGATGTCTGAAGCTATTGCCTACTTGATTTCAGGGAAAAAAAAAAACTGATAATAGGAAACTAGAAGAAGGAACGTGTTGGTTTCCCACAGCAACAGTGAATGAAAAGGGATTTTTAAATCTTTATATATGTGACCTTTTTTTTCCCCCCCGGTCTTATTTCAACAGAATCCAGCATCAGGACAAGCACCATAAGCTACAATGCAAGCACACGAGCTGTTCAGAAGTCTGCGAATGCCAGAGCTTGGGGATGTCAGGCAGTACGTGCGCACCCTTCCGACAAACACGCTCATGGGCTTCGGTGCTTTTGCAGCTCTCACTACCTACTGGTATGCAACAAGACCTAAAGCTCTAAAACCACCATGTGATTTAGCAATGCAGTCTGTGGAAGTAGAGGTAAGTGTTGCTTTGCTGCTGTCATTCATCATACTTTGAAGCTCAGAGATTGAGAGGGAACAACTCTTAGAGTGTTTCTAACCTTGTGGTGTGATGGACTCTATGTTTCAGGGTGAGCACTTCTGTGAAATCTGTCTCGAACTTGTGTCTTGGCTTTCTGAATTCCTTCTCTGCTCTGAAGATGAAGGTCATTGAGGTGGTAGCTAGTATGGGAGAAACAGCCCTTGTTCTGGGAAAACTGAACCCCTCATCCAAGTGATGGGAAACGTGCGCGTGTTGGAGGAGACCTGAGGTAGCTTTTCCTCCTTAGCCCCGTGGTTAGGTGATGACATATTAAGTTAGTTTTTGGAGTTGGATTATGCAAGCTGGAGTATGTAAATTAGGCTAAAACTCTTCTGCTATAATATTTAGCTCACAGTTGACAGATGAGACTTCTATATCAGGTTACAAGCAAGAAGAGGGCAGTCACTGTCCTGAAATGATCTGTGGAAAGATGCAGTAGTCCTGGAAAGAGATCTCAATCATAGACTAAGCTGAACTCAAAGCAGCTACCTCCTGAGCTCCGGATATGGTAGCTTAACTTTTGTCCTATGATTTTTGTACTGTAGAGACAGCGTTGCAGTTGGATGATAGTTATTTTAATAAGGAAGATAAGAAAACTCACTGGGAGAAACTGTGGCTTAGAAGCTATTATAGGCAATCACTAGAGGTTTTTGAGCAGGTTTTATCAATTCTCTTGTTTACTACAGAGTGAGAATCATACTGTTTTGGTTCCTTTAAAAGTGCTTCAGCGCAAAACACTTCAGGGTTCATCACATGTTTCGATTTTCCAGAAGGAAGGAGACAGGCTTGAATAGCTGTAATCTTCAAGGGAAGATGCTTATAAAATGTAGGAATGTAAGGGTGATAACTTCTTTCCCTGTGTCATGGATTAGCTGAATCATGGCTTCTTCTAACAGCTCCTTCAAAGGAAAAGGATTAGAGGAATCCTGCGTTACTGTTGATGATCACTGTAGTGCATTTGTTCTGGTGTTCTTGCAACTGAAGCTTCCCATTACCACAGATAATTATATAGAGACAAACCACATCTACTTCTCCTAAATCAATGCAATGAGGCATAAAATAAAAATGATTTTAATGTCACATTAGGAGTAGATGTAACTGCAAACTAATGTAAAGAAATATGGTATAGAGCAGTCTGCAATTTCCAGTAGGTAAACTTCTGTAAACTTTAACCAGACGAGACTTGTGTCATAGCCACAAAACAGGCAATTTCTTTGTAATATTTCATGATACTAAAATAGAAGAATAAAGTATTAGCTGGCCACTTTGTTCAAAAGCTTACTTTATTTTATTTCTTACCTGAATGGCTTTTCAGTGTGATATATAGTAAGCTCATTGACTTCTCAAATTGTTGCAGAGAACCTGTAGTAAGTAATGGCTTGCTATTAGAATTACACAAAGGGGAAACATAAATGTGATTTGGGGGCTTTTGCACTGAGAGATGGTCAAACAGTGGCTCGTACCTAGCCACAGGCACAGTGACAAAACACTTGAGACTGGAGACTCTTGACGGTCTCCAGGCTCCCTGCCCTTAGCTCTTCAAGCTAAATTAGCTCCTCGCTGCCGGATTCAGTGGCTGAAATCATTCTGTAGTGGGAGCTCTATTGAGCTACTTAGTGTAACTGATCCATATTGCACTAATTAGCATCAGCTCTCTTGCCTGAGTGGGGTAGGTGGAGAAGCGTTATGCTTTTTCCTGCCTCTTCAGAAAATGCATTTTAATAAAGATTTACTAATAGTATAACGAAAACAAAAAGCGGCCGAACGAGTTAGTGCATCTTAAACTTTGAGGACCTAGATTGAAGGGCCAGTGAAAAATCTGTCCCATGTGTTCTTTGGCAGTTGAGTCGCAGCCCCTGCCAATGTAATGATGCCAACTGTACTAAATTGTAATCAAATCAGAGCAGAGACGTTGAAGTAAACCTAAAGCATGTGCTGGAACTGGTACTTTCATAGGAATAAGAGTGTTTTTACAGCATTAGGGGTCCAGCTTCTCCCTAAGTAAATGTGCTTAGTATCTTGCTTCATGTACTTTCTAGTCTCTTATAGATTTATTAAGCTGGGCTTCTCATTTCCACAGCAGAAAAGTGATAAACACTGATTTCAGATAATATACTTGTACCCTTTAACCAGAAAAGATGTTACAAGGACTATGGGAGTCAGCAGTTTTCCAAAGAGACTCAGCAGGGAAGAAGCTCATCTTCAGTTTTGAATAGCACATTTACCTTTAATTTTGAGTTTTAAATATGCTTCGGCTTACTTGTGGCAAGGAGATATATCTACAGACTTCTGACTTGCTTCCTTTGCCTCTGATGGAGTCAAGTGAGGGCAGTGATTGGAGAGGATTTCTAAATGTTCAGATGATGAGTCTTCAAAACTTCTTATGGGAGGAAAAGTGTCCTGCGCATTGCATTCCATGTTGCTTCCCATCTTTGGCAAACTGATTTGGCAGGTCAGCACCCTGTGACCCCTTTTAACCATCAATGAATAAAGACTGTATGCTGAGCTGCGTGTCAGCTTGGAGGCCTACTGAAAGTAATGGCTTGCTTCTAAAGTAGATGTTGCAGTTAAAACATGTGGAGTACAGGCTTCAAGGTTTATGTATTATGATCCAGTTTCCCTTTAAGAAAGACCAATGTCTTCGAAGCTGCCAACTTCATCTTTTTTCAGAGGCGTTTTTTAGAGTGCACTCCCTCCTCAGAATCTACTTGCATCTTTTGTCTGTCGGAAGGCAGGTAAGATTAATGAAGTCTAACTAGTTGGAGACTGTATTGCCCAGAATTTCACCGTACTGAATTGTGCACTATATTGTTGCTAGGAATTTCACTGTGTACAGCTGTATTTTGCAAAGCTCAGGTGCACCATTAGTCATGTCTCTGCAGACAGATGTGGTTCTGTTTGCAGATATATCTTCCAGATTGTAATAGATATTTGAACAATTGCCTATCGATCTTGGCTAGAACCTGTGGAAAGACAGCCTATCTATATCCTATAGTGGCTTGAGTTTGGCCTTGCAGATTTGACTACTTTTTTCTTCAGAAGTATTCAAATATGGAGAGGGCCATTCCACTTATGAAGTAACTGTTAAACCTCCTTATGTTCTCTTGCTAATTACTCCATCTCATCTTGTCTTTTTCAAGCTAACTTTTAGAGATAAGTGCAGGTCATATGTTAAGTAATCAGTCATAGTTGTTGTGTGCTTACCTAGGGATTAGGTTGCTTAACATGATATGGCAGGTTTGAGAACCTTGGCTTATATTTGCTGCTCAGAATATGCATGGCAGTAATTGGGCAATCCTTCCCTTCTCGGGAAGATACTTTTCTCAGGAGAAAAAAAGCTGCCTCCCTTGGCTCTGGGACATGCTGGAAACAACCGTGCTGCTCATCTGAGGCAGCTTTTATCAACAAGAGGCAAGTCCATGTCTTGAACAGACAAAGTTCTCTTGTGTACTATGACACCAATGGGCATAGACTGGGTGATACAGGACTCTTCCAAGGAAAAGCCTCTCTCTTGGATGCTTCTATTCTAACCCAGTGCCAAGGCCTCGCTGCAAACTTCTTGCAACTCCTTGACATGCTTCAGTAGCTGAAATGCATGCATGTATATGCACGCACACGCACAAAAAAGTCCCAGTAACCTAAGGTTGTTCTTGGCATTAGTGCGATTTTATTGCTTCATCCCTCAGAACTACATTGTTTTGGGATATTTTGAGCTCTTTTGACCACTTGCCTCTATACTAGACATCTGTTAGAGCCTATTCAAATAGGTTGCATGAAATCAGTGCAGCATTCCGGGTCTGAGACTGAAACGTGCAGCGACAGGAGGGACTCGTGCTGCACCAGCTGCTTTTCAGAGGAGCTTCCCCTGCTGCAGCACATGCCTTCTGGATAAGGACCCTCTGCCCAGACTGGTAACATCTTGGCACTTTGCAAAGCAAAGTTAAGTAAGCAAGTCTCTGTGCTGGTTCTGTTTCACTTTCTGTATGGAAATAACTTTGGAGAGCTGACTTGGGCTTTTAATAGCCTGCAAGGGTTGCTGTGTTTTTCCAAAGGACGCTGCAATCAGTCCTGCATCTCTGTGTGCTGTTTCTCAGAAGTCTGACCTTCACTTTCAGTTGTGCTTCTGGCCCTGCAAAAACAGTCTTTGTGGCTCTGAGTAATAGGATATGAGGACAAAATAGTGGTAGCTTGTATGAGAGGAAAACAAGTGTATTGACCATTGCTGAGAAATGGCTTAGAATGGGGCACTTCACCAGAAATGGCAGCTGCAGCACATTAAACGTGGTACTGATGCAGGCTAACCACGACCTCAGGCCAGCTCCAGCCACGGGCAAACGGGGCTTTGGAGAAGGTCCAGAAACAAATGCATTAAAACACATACAGTCTTCACCTTTTATTTGTTTTCCTAGCGGAGGTGTATTTTAGTGATCTTTTCTTTTCCTATAGACTAAATGTTGTTCTCTGAGTGCCAGCGTGCTCTTGAATACTTCTAATATTACACGTGCTTAGAGGTAGGCTGGTCATTAACTTGTTCTGCGTTGTGTTCCTGCTGTGGGTTTCTGCTTACTGTCGAAGGAGTGGCAGGCGCTCCATTACGCATATAGGGTTTTGCTAAGACAAGTCAGACTTGTTTTACAATTATGGATATTTTTTTTCCTGGCTACATGAGGTGCCATTAACGTGCTAGCTCTGTTTTGTGGACATGTGCAACACGATATCTTTTGCAGATAAACCTATGTATACCCAGCTCATACATTAAAGGGCTCTCTGGTCCTGTTGAGGTACTTGAAAAACAGTGCTGAGCATAAACCAATAGCCTGGGAAAAGTATGTGATCCCTTATAACTGCACAAAACCTATCCATCTGCAAGAACTATCAATTACCCCCAGAGTTTTAGTTAGTCTAAGATTTGGCCCTATGTAAAGGGCTAGGAGTTGGCTGTAGCTGCTGATTTGGATAGTTTTATGTGATGCTTCCAGGGAACCCACTGCTTGTCCTGCTATATAATATTTTGTAGGCACCTCTGTGTTACCTGAGCAGAACTAATAAACATGGCTTAATAGTACATAATTGTTTTATGACAAATTAAAGTGTCCAGATGTACTTACAGATTACAAGATTATCTAATCAGTTATAATAAAGTAGACTGTATAAAAACTATGAGCTTGTTCTGTTCATGTTCTCTTGCCACCTCCCAGTTGTGGCTTATGTAAATGCTAGTCTGCTCAAACAGGGTGTTTCTGAGAGTGTTTGGTTGTTTACTTTGTGTGGTGCTGGTTTTTGTTTTGCTTTCTTTTAAACCCAAGGTGATGTTGTCCTGACTGCCTCTAACTAGGTCAGTTAGTCTAACTCCTCAGTTAGAGGAGACAGCTCTTATGAAAAGGTGGAACTTTAAGTGGATTAAATGACTTGATTTTTAGCTGGTAGAGAATATTTTACTGCTTGAAATATGTGTTTTGGAGTGTTGTTGATTGCCCTTAAAAATCAATCCACTTCTCGGAATCTCAGTTCAAAGCAGTTATATTTTCGATTTAAAACTAGAGGAAAAAAAAGGAAAAGTAGACTCTGCTCTTGTGGTGTTGGAGGCATTTGGAAAGCTGGATGGAATTATGCTGCATACTGCAATGATGGCTTAAAACATTTCTTAAGTAAAAGTAAGGAGTGTCCAAAGGCATTATGTGGTTCTCAGGCTTGATCTATGTCATGTGTGACTGAGGACAAGATTTTTGCCTGGCGGGTTTTAGAAATGTAAGGAGTGATTTGGCCCTTTTTTTTTTTTTTTTTTTTTTTTTTTTTTTTTAACTATATATCCTGGCAAAATCTTGCAGGATTTTTCCTGTCCTGTAGTGAAACACCAAAGATCTTTAAAACGAAATGTTATAGGACTTAAAATGCAGTATTTCAAAATGTTGTTTTTATTTTAATTATCTTAGTGATTTCCTATTACTCTTTAACTAACAGATGTGTCTAATATTTCTACTTATTTTATATAGGGTGATGAGCATGCTCGAAGGTCCTCCCTCCTCAAGAGCGATGAACTATTGATTTACTATTATGATGACGTGAGAACAGCTTATGATATCTTCCAAAGGGGTGTGCACGTATCAAGTAAGTACAAAGATAAATTTTCTGCAATAAGAGCTAAAGGTCTGGGCTTTTTTGAAATGCTTTTGGAGATATGTGATATCTACCTAGCAATAAGATAATGTATTGGGTGTGGGCTTTCTTGAAGGCAGATTTAACCTCTTATGGAGCCGGGGTGGACAAGCGAAGTCTGTGCCGTGCTACGTATTCTAAAGTAAACCTGGCTGCCTCCATGTCCTTCCCTCATTTCCTTCCTGGTGTTGCTCTTTTCTCCCTCTCTCCCTTCCTTCCTTGTCCTCTCCCCAACTGGTTTGGCTTCTGAACGTGTCTGAAAGGAATTCACAGGCTGTGAACTTACCCCTGGCAAGAGCGTAGCTAGTGTGGTGTCATGGCTGAGAAAACAGGCTTTACGTCTTGAGTAATTTTGGATTTGTCACGTTGTAGATAACGGTCCCTGCCTGGGCTATAGAAAACCAAACCAGCCCTACGAGTGGATCTCCTACAAAGAGGTAAGTAGCCTCTCTAGCTTAGTGCTGGATCTGCATTTGCTTGCTGTGACTATTGATACAACATTTGGTGATGTGATATTTTGAGTCTTATGAAGTATGCAAATTGGACAGAAAACGTGCCCTTTATGTTTACCTTATTCACCGTTCTCTTTCTGAATCTTCTGGGGCTTTCTCTATTGATGAGAGCTGTTTTGAACTTGTACCCTGCCTCTGAAGTGCTGCAGCTTTGGAGTGTTACTCAGGGTTGGGACTCACATTGCTCCTCCTGTAGTTGTTTCTGAGGACGTTTCTTAGAGTAGATCTGATCTCTGTGTGCATTATCTGTGCTTCTTGGTTTATCTCCATACTGATGAACAGTAATTGTATAGAGTGTTCATGGATAGGATTTTAACTAGTAACCTCTTCATGACGACTAAAAGTAGATCTTTGTGCAAGCTGCTTTAACAGCTGTGTTCTCTCCGATCACTTCTGATTTAGTCAGCTGGTGACTTTAAACTTGTAAGCACTAGGCAAGGTTTACACAATTAGTGTTATTAAACACCTCCTTGCAGGCTGCAGAACTCACTTTTTTCAAGGTCATTTTACTGCATATTGAGAGCAAGTGCCATATAAAAAATCAGAGCTGTGTAATGGCATTGCAGTGGGAACCAAAGTCATGGAAGACCCCAAGATACATTCACTAGACTGTCTATTTCATATCCACTGTTGTGGTGGGTTTCTCTCTCTCTCTCCTTTTTTTTTTTTCCCTTTTTCTGTTTGTTGTTAGGCTTAAAATATGGTATTTACTGATGAAATTGCTTTTATTCATTTATTTATTTTTACTTTTTTCAGGCTTCAGACAAAGCAGAGTACGTGGGCTCAGCATTACTTTACCGAGGCTTCAAACCATCATCTCAAGCTCAATATGTTGGAATTTTTGCACAAAACAGACCTGAGGTAATTTAAATGAAGGAATTTGTGCTAGTGATCTACTTACAATTGAAATAGCCCACTTATTTTAAAATCCACTGCTTTTGTGTACCCAGCTGCCCTAGTAAGAAACATATTTGGGGTCGGAAAAGAGCAGAAGGTGAATGTCATAGGCCCCCAAGCTACCCACATGGCACCTCTAGCTAAGAACCAAAATCAACAATTGACAACAGTTAATGTCTCGTATTTTTCTCTCTCTCCCAGAGCTACACACAGAGCAATAAGAGAACCAGGGAATCTAAAACTTCCCTCTTGAAATACCCTAAATAGATCCTGTTATCTGGAGGATATACAATATCCTTTACAATATCTACATGGTTAAAAACTTTCAGTGCTCACCCTTTCCCCTTCCTGCCCCCACTATATACACAAAAAGACACGAAAATAAAAGCTATTGCTAGCCTGGTACAGATGAAGAAACTGTTTTTCCAGGCTCTCAAGTCTGCCACAATATGCTGTCTGGATTTTCCCTTTGGTGTTCCAATTCTAAGGCCTTCAGTTATATTTGTGCCAGAAAAAGGCTGGGATGTCTCCAAAAAGGAAGCTGTTAAATTAGGATTTGGTTAAGCAAGCAGTTTAAAGTATGGGATTTTCCCTGTCAAAAATGACTGGATGAGTGTGGTGACAACCCTAACATAATCACCAGTCCAGACAGACAGAAGGTTTTTGATTCACACTTTTCAGGTCAGGGGAAAAACTACAGGGAAAATCCCTAAAGGGGAAAATCCCTAGTATGTCCCTTCTTTAAATGTTCACTGAAAATGAAATTGGGTTTATAAATAATAATATGGCTTTCAGTAACTGGAAAACAGATAATCCCTTCAACAAGTAAGGAGTTTCTGTTGAAAACCAGGACAGCAAGTTGAGTTTCTCCTAGCAGAAGATAAGTGCCACTGGAAAGAACAAATCAAAACTTAGATTTTTATTTATTTATTTATTTTTGATGCTACTAGATACTCATGTGGGCTTTGAAAGGGAGAGCTTACTACTTGTTTTAAATACTCTCTTACCTTTTGGAGGTTGAATGGAGGAAAAATCTGCTGATAGCCTAGAAAATGAAGATGGCTGTTGTATTAAGAGTCCTGGAGTACAAGTTGTTGGAGACTGGGAAGCGCTGCTGCTCTGTGCTGCTTCTGACACCTGCTCTAATAGACACCCCACTAGCTGCTAGACTCCAGGCTGCTAAACAGTGACACGGCCACCCTCTCTCGTTACATGTGCAGGTGGATGTATCGAGGCA